AAAGGGAGAGTATTTCCAAGGAAACACAAGGGGTTCAGGAGTGTTCCAAAGCCAAGGCAAGGCAAAATACTTTCAGCCCAATTGTCTGGCTTTCCCAGGCTTCTTTTATGAGGAGGCCCTAAGATGTGAATGAGGAGTGATCTTGTTCAGCCTGAAAAATAAAATTAACACCAGTATGAAAAGGACTGAAGCCCAGAGAACCGCAAGTGCCTTATGCTTTTAACTGAAGGATGCAAAGGCTCAGCTCAAGATGTAACTGAGGTCCATTTGGGATAATGTATTTCATGCTTGCCTATGAGTAGAAAGTAATGTTAAGGTCCCTTTAGATGGATGCAAGACGTTTTTTTAGTACAATAAAGGAGAAAATGTTCTTTCTCTTCCTTCTCTTGTAGCACTTTATACCCTGTCCTGGGCCTTTTCCCCTCAGACCTCTCATTTCTCTCTCTTTTAGATAGGTTACTCCATCCCTTACAAGTCAGCCTGTCCTTCATTTTCTTTGCGTTTCATTGCAGTTCACAGACAAAGTTCAACAAAAGCCTGTATCCCACTAGCCAGGAACAAGCCTGGATTGTACCACCTCCTTTCTTGAAACTGATGCTCATGTTACTCTTTCTTGCCAGCAGCTTTGGAGTTCATTTTGAGTCTCTGTACTTCTGGTTTGTGCCTTTTGTGCGTTTTGATCCCCTCTCTCTTTCCTGCTCCAACCCTGCACACCAGCTCATCCTCTCGCTGTTGGCATCCCTGGTACGTCACCTCTAGGGTTTCAGACGGGTTGATAGAGAGTGACAAAACCTGGGTAACCTGGGTTGTGGATGGACGGCTGCAGTGCCTGCCAGCAGTAGCTGCTGTAGGTAAACCAGAGCACTGACATTTATATCACTCAAGTTGCCTCACTTCCATGAGTGAATCTCCCCAGAGTTGTTTCTCTAGGTGTGACTGTTTAGAGCACTGTCCTCCCTGTAAGTTAGATACTCTGCAGTAAAATAGACTCCAGCAACTTCATTGCTATATATAAAGTTTCCCTCGAACCTTTTTCAAATGAAGTCCTGTCTCCTCCCTAGGAAGCATCTGCTTCCCATTGCCAAATTCTTCTGCGTTCCTGTCCCTTTGGTCGTGTTTTCTCTGAATCCTTTAAAAAATGTGCATTTTGGCTGCGCGGTCATGCCAAGGAGTGTGAGAGTTTGCACATTTCAAGCAGGGATTGGCCCGTCTCGAATTGGTGCATCCAGAGAACCTGTCACAAGTTCCTTGAAGCACTTCTGCCTTCTGTTGTGCTGGCACCGAGATGACGGGCGCTCATTTTGCATGTCTCGGCTCCGCGTTTGGCTGGTGAGGATATTTGCAAGGCTGGATATTTCTGGTTCTACTCCACAGAAGCCTTAAATGGAGTATTTGCTGTGCCCTGCCTTACGAAAAGGAGCCTAGTAATAAAACTTTGAAGGCTCCTGCTCAAAACCCTTATGTCAGACCTGCCTGGGTGGTGGTACGTCTCTCTCCCTGTTTGTTGAAGGAGTTTCTGTATTTTTTGGCTGTCACCACACTCTCTTAGCTCCCTTACCGATCTTCTCCCTTTGCCTTACCAATGGGTTCCATAGGGCTTAATAGTGACATTTCTTCTTATATCATTCAAGCCATCTTCCACACATGGATTCAAAGGTTTGGAAGTGGCTTGAAAGTCAATTTGGACCATGTGTTGTTGTGCAGGACTGCACTGATGCTGTTCCCTACACACTGTAGGGCTGACAGCAGAAAGTGTTTACGGTCTGAAACACCAGAGCAGGTCCTTTTCCATGAAATGGTGTCCTTGGAGCCTTAAAAGCTACATTTCTGCTCAGCCCCTTAAGACTTTCCCATAAGGTGGTGGCAGAAGGCGTCTGTGCTGACCGATTAGCAAACACCAGCAGCTGCAGATCAGTATCATGCAGCATGAGCCACATCCCTCGAGGTTACCAAACTTGAAGTGATAGCATATGGATGAAGGTCTATCACCTGCCTCATCTGTCAGCGGTGACTTAATTATCTGGCACCTGGAATCCTCTTACTGCCCAAACAGAAGTAAAAGGAATGACTGATTTAAAGCCTTCTTTCTCCAAGTAGGTGCTGATCTTGTGTTGCCAGGTAATTTTAATGGTGCCTTCTGACCTTAAGAGGGATGAATCTAAGTTAAATATCAGGCATTTGGATCTTGGCAAAGTTCAGATTTCCAAAATGAAGAAATACAAATAGCTAGAAAGGCGACGCTGTGCCTTCTCTGGATGGCTGAACAAGTGCCATTAGCGCTTGAGTGTATTCCCAACTAGATATAAAAGGAATCAGGAGTGTTAAGGAAAAACAGAGTAAAGTGAATGCCTATTACAGCTGTCGCAATAGGAAAGTTGCAACATTTGCTTGTAGGAAAAGATGCAGAAGCACACAGAGTACCTGTTAGTGTGAGCGAAGCCAGACTTGGGCAGGATTTCAAGTGTTACAGACACAATCCTGAAGGCTATATGCAGAGCAGCGTGACTTTTCCATGATGTTGGTTAAGAAGACGTGCCATTGCAGATTCTTTTTTTTCTTTTTTCTTTTTTTTTCTTTTTTTTTTCTTTTAAGGCTGTTTAAGTTTCCTTGGGCCTTTATAGATTAGACACAGTTTAGCGGTGTTCAGTATGCCAGGGGACTGAACCAAGGGAACAGCGTCCTCAGCTGTGTTATAAACACAGCTTGTCCCTTGCCCCCCTCTCCCCCATCCCCGATTAGATTTCTAGCTGAGAAATAAAGTTCTTGGAGGAAAAAAATCCACCCTTGTTCCCTTTATTCTGCTTTCCTGTTTGCAGGGTGTATAGTCTTATACTTCTCCCTCTTTTGTCTTTAAAATTAGGAGCTCTCTGAGTCAGAAATAGTCTCCTCCCATAAAACACCGGTCACGGCAGAGCCATTACAGACAAAGATTGGGGGTTTATTCTACCAGAGATTCTGGAGTTTGGGGAAAAACACCAGTTCAGATAGAAAATGAAAGAACTCATGTAGGATTGTCAAAGAAAACTCATTCTGGAAAAAAAAATCAACAAACAAATGTAATTTTTCTGTTCTAGTTGCTATTTCATATTTTAATGAAATGGATCAGATAGTTGATCTGAGTCTCAAGGACTTCTTAGTCTCCCAGGCAAGTTCCTGGGTCATTCTTCTTTCTGTGGGCTGCCAAAGCCTCATGGAGCCCTCCAGGGAAATAAGCAGTGCCAAGCACTGCCTTGCCTGTGATGCTGCAAGGTCTGCTTTAGTGAATGATCACTCTGACATGAGCAACAGTATTACTGGTGAATTTCTGCTTAACTTTAGCTCTGATAATTATACAGCTTCTAAAGGTGTTAACAGAGAATGTTGGTTCTGGCTTTGTCTTAAGAAGGTATCTATCACAATTAATCTTTGCCCACTCTTATCCTTTCTTGCTTCTTGGAACATAGAAACATTGCTATAAATGTCTGTGAGTCTAAATGTGGATTTCTACATACACATAAACGCTCAAGTGCACAAATGGGTGTTTCATCACATCATACCATAATATGTCATATAACTTCATATGATGTTGCATGTCTGCAATGAGAAGACACAGTCTTCCATCCTTATTAGTCAAAGTGAAGCATCAAAGGTTAACTTCTTTCTGTCTGAAATTTGCACGAAGTATGCTAGATCTGACTTTACTGTGCCATGATAAACTTTGCTTAGTGTGTCTTGTATAAAGGTAAAATACTTTTTCCATGACTTAAACCTTTGTGGACCAGTGCTATGCTAAGGACAATTAGATTTAGCTTCCCTGGAATCTCCAAAGGCATTTTAAAGGACTTGTTCTTTTGCTCCAACTCTAGGGCTCAGAGAGACTGAGACATTTTTGGAATAGGTTTTGATGGACTTACATGAAAATTTATATGACTAAGAATTGGATTTGTTCCTCTGGAATATTATGGATTATTTTTATGTTGGAATTACATAAGTGTGCAGAGCTGCATACAGTTGGCTTCATGTAGCTAAAAATATATCTCCTGATTTCCATTTGGAAAGGTAGCTGGATTTTTCCAGCTTTCCCTCTCAGTGATGACTTTATGGCGTGTATGGGTTATCGATTATAGGAAAAATTGAAATGCATAGTAAGATCAAGGGGTTTAAAATTAATTAATATTTGATTATATCTTTGAGAAGATTAATATTGATGCCTGTCCTTCTCCACTCCTCATTTTGAACAGAGTTGAAATCCCTTACAAATGAAACTTATTTCAGTGAGACCATATGGATTTAAATGAGGACAGGAGTGGGCAGTGTGTGATGGAGCAGAAATCTCCAAGAGCTGGGGCAAAGGCCCCACTGATGCTTGTCCTGCTTTCCTACTCGTTGCCTCTGGTGCAGCAGAAATCACAAAGAATAGGGAGCCACTGAAGATCATGAGCTAGTAACAACTACCATCAGTTACATTATCCAAAGTTATCCCATCTCTTTCTGCTTCTTAGTCCTTTACATATCTCTATTTATGACTTTTTAAGACACTGCACTATGCAAAAACCACTTACTGGAGGGACATTTTTCTGACTATATTTTTGATGAAAAGTCTTTTGAAGTGCAGGGTGAGCTTTCCTGTTCCAAAAGAGAACAGATTAGAAAAAACTGATCCCTTTATTTTAAATGATTGACCATCCCATTTAACACCAGCCTTTGGCACATTTTGGTTCACCCTCCATGTAGAGCAAAAACATAGTACAACACACCCCAGAGGTTTTTAGCACCTGAAACTGTGGTTCTGTGTGTAGCTTTGCTGTTTCCTGAGTAGAAGAGCTTGTGTGTATGATGGCTGTATCGAGTGATTAGGCCCATTGACTCTCTGAGAGGATGAATGATGCAAATACACTGCAATAAAGATGAACAAAGGGTGTCCCTGGAAATTAACTGCACACTTGTTATTTACCTAGAAGAAGTACAGTATAAAACTGATAAGCTAATAGGATGTTTCCATCAGATTTTTAAATGCTGTGTAAGATGGAACGTTTCACAACATAAAACCAACATTCTACTTTTGTTTTTCTTCCTCTGTCCCTACCCAGAATGTTTTCTAAAATGGACATGTCACTTTGGGTGTATAATCTCATCATATTTAGATTTGATCTAAATCCTGTCTTCTCTCAGCTGTGCTTGCTAATGGAATCACTCATGCTTTTTATACAGTTGATCTAATAATATTTCTTCAGTGCTCTCTGGCATTATTTTTTACTTTATAGAAATCATGGCAAAACTAGCAATATAAATTGAGTCTGCATTTTAATGATATTGATGGTGATTTTCCTGTGCACTTGCATAAGGTAGGTTTTCATTTTTCTCTTTTTGTACCATGGTCATTTTAATGTACTGTGGCATGAGCAAGTGAATGACTTCAGTTGCAAGATTCTATAAAAAGGAAACAGATTTTTCCAATACACTTTGTAACTTAAACTGACATCAGCAGAATATCCATCAGACATCTTCATTTTTTGCTTTTTATTTTATTAGTAAGATGGTCTAGTGGCCTGTGAACTGGTCACTCTTCAATACAAAGACATTGTGGGCTCACCCTGGAAAGTACCAGGTCAGGTATTCTCACCATTCTCTGATTTGTTGATTCCTTGTATTTCGAATGGCGATTGGCGAATAGACAATTTTTATTTAGTGACAATACATTATTTTTTTCTTCATATAGCTTGAAAGAGGACAAATTATATACTTAAGAAGGTATCTACCACTCTCCATCCTTTCTTGTTTCTTGGAATATAGAGACAATAACAGCTACTGGTTCTGTTTCATTTTATGCTTGCACAACCTCCATGATTACTTTAATAGGTGTGTGGGGATAAGAGCCACAATGAGTGAGTTTTCTCCTTATTTTAAAGGAGATATGAGATGCCAGTTACCACCTCAGGAGGGTGAAGCCCTTTACAGAAGCAGCAGATGCAGTTCAGCATCATTCTATTGTGCTTTGCTTCAACTTTTACCATGGAAGAGCTAGCTCTTAGGACAGAAAGTGCTCAGTTTATACTCAGACCTTGGCATTTTTCCTAAGGTACCAATTATAATGGTGTTTTTTGTGATAGGGGCACACATCCATTATGACTTGGCTTGCACCCACCAACTCATTTTTCACAGGCCATGGAACATGCATCAGATGGCAACAATTCCCATTGGTGAGCAATGTTAGGGAAGACTAGATTGTTACCAGTGGAACAATGAGCTTCATAGAACTGTTCCATTGTGCAATTATATGAAGTATGCTAAGAGAAAGTGCAGTTTCTCAATAATTCCCCCCTTCTTTTTTTTTTTTTTTTTCCAAACCACAGGAATGATAGATTATTAATCATGATTAATACTCAGTTACTGTGAATTATAGTGGAGCAGTGCCTGGAAATCCCAGTCTGTTTGGTAAACTTCTTTCCTTGCATAATAGGGAACTTTTTTTGTATTTAAGACACCTCATATATATCTTGACATAGAGGAAGATTAAAGCAACGGAACCACCCATTTCATGTAACTAAAAGGAAAATTTAATAGATACATACATTCTTAGTCCATTACTGTTGAACTTTTTTTTTGGTACTGTACAAGCATAACAATATGAGAAATACAATTGCAAACATCTTAATTGTTCCCGTATTTTGCTTTCTTCCTGAGAACCAAACTCTTCCAGAGCTCAGGTGTAGCACTCAGCCTGAATCCTTAAGCAATGGAGTTAAGGCAGAGCTGTATGTTTTGACATTTCGAAGGTCTTGGTCATTCTGGTTGTGATTGCTTAGATGAGTATGAATGATCAAAATGCTCTAGGAAGCAGAGGAAAGTCAAAGCAGGCAATATAGTATGTTCCATCCCTGTAATTGGGGTGTACATGGGCTAATTTTTGCTAGCCCCATGTCTAAAATAACTCATAATGTGCATGGAGTGTAAGACACCAGAACAGCCTTATGGAAGGGCTCATGTTCAGTCAGAGAATTGCATTTCTTAGAGATAACTGGTCTTTAAACTTTTGGAAGCACCCTGAGGCCATTTGTATTCAGTCCTGTGTGTGCAGTACAATATTTAGCGAATGAAAATTTCTGCTGTAAAGAGTTTATGTCCTGATCTGTCCTGTGTCCTGAGAGCCCAGTGAAAGCAGGTAAACAGACATTTTCCTTTCAAGGATGAGACTGTTGGGTCATTTCCAAGAGGAGATCCTTAGAGAGCATCCCATGGTCCCTTCCTGTAAAAGGTAGCAATGTAGCTCTTCATTATGATCTCCGTCTCTCTCTTCCCCCAGCCAATCTGTCAGCGCATTTATGGTGCTGAGGAGAGGCGTCGTGTCGGAGCGATGTTCCCGTTTGCAAAACGGTAACTTCTATTTGTTGTTCTGGGGAGCTGGTTTCACACACTGCGGAGCTGACATCTCTCCGGGAGCACAGCTGAGTCCAACATGTTCGGAACAGCCATCCACCCAAACGCCTCCCACTCAAGTGCTCAGACCTTCCTTCCTTCCTTCCCGGTAAATAGAAAATACAGAGACAGACTTGAATTGTTTCAAATCATTTCTGTTTCACTGGAATGTCTACCCATGTTCAAATCTGATAAATGGGTATTTATCTGGCCCAGGAAGTCAGTTTAGTGTGGGAATAGGATGGCTCTACAAAGAGGAAACCAAGTTTCTAGAATAGTTAATGGAAAGGTCTGACTGGCTTTCTCTGTGTCAATGTTTTAAAGGGTTCCTGTGTGCCATGAAAATGCAATGTTGAAATCAACAGTTTTGTGACAGAAAACAAAGTCATCATAAGCTCTGCTTCTCCTACATTGTAGGTTTCATTGTTCATACAGAAGGCCTCTCAAAATCTCCTTCCTAAAACAGGAAACAGAGCAATGTGCCATTGTACACTTCAGGCAAGAAGATATTGCTGCATTATTTAGAACACCATCATTCCCTACAACAGCAGCTCTCAATATATCCCACAGCATGATTCAGTTTGTATTGTTGGGACATCCTGTCTAGCCACGGCTATGGCCGTGACCATTGTAATTCTCTTTTCAACCTTACCATGCCCTATAGTAGACATGACCTCTGTTTGCCAGCCTGTGGATTATGGCATAGAAAAAAGCTCTTTTGAATAATGATTCCTAGGAAAAGAATTGAACCCCCACCCCCAGATGTTTGTGCCAGGATTCCTTAATTCAGCTGCATAGCTGATATATGGAGACCTCACTTGCCATGGTTGATCCCAGAGTGGTCAGTATGTATTACCTTAAAGGCTCAGAGCTGGAAGGAGACATTCTGGTTTGCAAGACAAATTCCCTATCTCCGCATCCCTCAGTGGCAGCATTCTGAAATATGCCACCCTCTGGTTTCCTCTCTTGGGCTCCTTCCAGCCACTGTATATGAAATCTACCCTTTTAGACAGCAGCATCAAGAACAAGAATGGCCAGCATGCATTTCTATTGGTACTTCTCTATGAAATGGTATGTGGTGCAAATTTCCCCCTTTTCTCACTCTAAAATGCTTTGGGTTAGTGTCTTTATTCATAGGTGCCCTGTTGCCACTTTGTTGAGAGCAAGCTATGGTGGAAAGCGGAATTAACCAAGCCTCTGATAAGATGTCCTGATAAATTGTGCTGAGAGTTTAGTTGTGAGACTCACTGTTGAGAAATTTAAGGTCAAAATCTGTGGGAGAGTGCAAACTGGAGCATTAACACTCAGCATTTCCCAGCCCAGGGTGTGCAAAACCAGATCCTCTGGGATAGGAATGGTTAGTGCTTTCTGGGGCTGGGTCCAGACAGAGCTGGCCAGCTAGCACGGGTGCGGCAATTAAAGACTAATGACTTTGTTCCTTCAGGTGACTACAACTCATAATGTTGTATCTCAGTTAAAACTAGGAATCCCCATCGATGTTCTGGAAGGAGCACAGAAACAAGGTGTGCTGACCTTCTCTTTGCATTTCTAATGTTTGTTGGCCTTGTGTTGCTAACCTTTGTAAGATAAGATCATTAGTAGTTCTACCTACTTCTTACTTACTGACTTTTTGAAAACATGAATTTTTCAGAACTTGGGGGGAAAAAAGCAGGAAATTCACACAAATTTGTGTTTCAATTAAATATTCATTTGTTAGGAACACAGATTTGAAACTCGGATTATTAAACAAGAGAGTCCAATGATTTTAACAATGCTGAGTACCCCAGCATCTTATTCAGGATTCTTGTCTGGGATTCCTCACACACTTATGCACTGAGATCAGTGGGGTTTAGGAAGAAGTTTCAGTGCCTATACAAAGCAAACACTGTCTTTGGTGTTAGTCTATTAATATCTAATGTGAGCAAGCAACACTGTGTTTTCCTCTGTGCTTAGTACGTGCATTCTGCACCCTCAGGCAGCTGAATTTACATGCTTTTGTTGTTGTATGTGTAATGTGAAATATGTATTTCCATTTTATTAATCAGACCTGCCATCAGAAAAGAAATAGAGGGAGTTTTGAATGCACAGCCAGGATAGATACTGTCATTTTGCAATCTTTTGTGCGCAGGTGGAGATGCCTGTTTCCGCTAGAATGGGTGGCAATATTCTGCTGCTTGCAGAATTCTTACAAATGAAAATCAGGCAAAGGAGTTACTGGCTATCCACGGGGTAATTATCCTCTGGAAGCGTGCAGTCAATTCCCATTTAGGCTAATTACACTTAAGGAGCCCTTTCCTATAACTAATGAACAATAGGCATAACCTGTTATTACATAACCATAGGCACGCACATTAATACACTGTCGAATTGCACCACCCTGTTAAAATGCTTCCTCTACAAAATTCACTGGAGATTTTTAGAGACATTTGCTGTAATTACTGCTAGCATGGTTTCTAATTCATTTAATTTTCTTTTCTACCTAAACTGAGTGTATAAGTGTGTTTTAAGAGATTGAATAAATAAATTTTTAATTACAAAATGATGCTATATCATACATTATTAATAATAACCAACAATGTGTAATATATGTTTAGGTATGAATCCATTAGGAAGATGAACTAATATATATCAGTCCTAAAATAACATCCTAATTTGTCCTGTGTTTATGAATGGGGAAATCCATGTTTAAAGCAATTGGAGGTTTATAAAAGCCTTGGACTGACAGTGGGTAAAGCATTGAGCACTCTTGGCACTTAGGAATTCTGTTGTTGTCTACAGCAAAGGAGAAGACCCTTTTTGGTCTTCTTTAAACCCTTTGTTGGTTTCAGCAGTTTGTGAAATCACACAACCAGAATAGTACAGGTATACAGACCTCCAGGGTGGGAGCAGCCTGATGCACATAGTCCTGGTTGGCAAACACTCTAGTTATCATCGTTATCTCTAAAAAAAAACCCAACAAACCCTCCTTTGTACTCTGTCAGTTTACTTTCAGGTAGTTTTGAGGGATTTTGCCAATTATTTCCCTATTAGCGATAGCAGACTTCAGAAATCTCCATGGCAAGTTCCAGGCATTCACCAGTCTCGTGGCAGGACTCAAAAAGGCTGCAATCAATGTCACAGTCACAGTTGCAGTCATTGTTGGCGTGGTCTTCATCTGAGGTCTGGTAGTATCTATTGGATGGACAACAGGTATCTATCAGCCAATGTTCACAGGTATCAGGCAGCATTATAAGAAAGTCCCAAAACTGGCAGAACAAGCAGGCCAGGATAAGGGTCGCACATTCATCTAAGAGAAAGGAAAAGCAGCGAGACATAAGAAAAAGGGCATGCTTGGTTACCTAGGTTTAGGTGACTGCGACTACACAGAAATGAGATGCAAGAGAGCACAAAGGGCAGGCAAAAAATACATTGATGATAAGTACTTCCATTGAGTCAAATGAAAGGATTTATTTTTTATGTTGTTTGCTCTGGAAAAACAACAGTGGCATGAAATTGATTTGGATGAAAATATTCTGTGGCAGTAAAATTCAGAGGAACAAGTACTCTAACCACCTTTATGGTTGTTCTTACAGGTCTTTTCCAACCTAAATGATTCTACAATTTTATGTTCTTAAAGTGTTTGGGCTGTAAATTTCATTACAAGAGTGACCCTCATGAATCAGAGATGCTCTGTGGAGGGGGTTGCAGCCTTCCAGGAGTGAACAAGTGCTTCTGTTTCATGGTGCCACATGTGCTACCTGACCAAGCTTCCTGGTTTCACCTGGGACAGAGTTAATTTACTTCCCAGTAGCTGGTGCAGTTCTGTGTTTTGATTTAGTATGAGAAAAGTGCTGATAACACACGGATGTTTTTAGTTGTTGCTAAGAGGTGTTTATACCAAGTCAAGGACTTTTCAACTTCTCATGCCGACAGAAAGAAGGCTGGAGGGGCTGGTAAGCAGTTGCATTTTGTATCACTTATTGTGTATATTCTAATATTTATTATTATTATTATTATTATTATTATTATTGTTATTATTTTATTTCTTTTCTATCCTGTTAAACTGTCTTTGTCATAACCCATGAGTTTTCTTAATTTTACTCTTTTGATTCTCACCCCCATCCTGCTGTGTGGTGCTTAGTTGCCACCTGGGGTTAAATCAGGACACTAATGCACATGACACTGGAGCTTATTTTCTTTTTCACAAGAATTTGCAATTAAAGATAAAAATCATGAGCATGGTCATGCTATTCTAGGAAAGAAAAAAAGTCAGCAGAAAAAACTCCAAACAAATAGCTTTTAAGGGCATTTTTGCCTGCATACATAGGGTTCAGAACTGACTCCTTTGTATTTAAACTATCCGTTTCTGTGCCGTAAGTCTGTTCCAGTCTGGATCAATCCTCACTGGAAGTCGGTGTGCAAACACCTAAAGCTTTCGTGGAGAGTGGATCGGCCCACATGTTTCTGATGACATGATTGTCATCTAAATGACAGATAGATTCCCTAGCCAAAGACAGGCAGGAGAAGCAAGTCAGGAGAAGAGCATTTACAGTGGGCAGTGTGCTGATTGATTCTCAGCCCAGAGTCCTTCCACTTCCTGACCAAAATGGGTTTCTTACCTCTTCATTCACAGACTTGTAAATTTTTGAACAGAGAGAAAAGTTTGGAAACTGGAATAATCCCGGATGTGTGTCTGGAGCCAGTAAATATTCCTGAAAACTTGCTCACTGTGACAAAAACTTTGTGTTATATTTGTTCCCCTCAAAAAACAACTAATCAACTCCCAACCGTTTGAGTTACAGCATCTGGGGAAGCTGCCTCCGGGTGCAGCAGGGCTCAGAGCAGGTGTGAGATTCTGACTGTGTGAATCCAGTTGGAGTGCAAAGACCCAGACCTTTCAATTTGTATTTTTTTTCCCTCCTTGTTTTTGGAAAGGAAAAATGCCTTCAACAATATGAATGCCTTTTCATTGGTTCTTTCAGGAAAGCATATGGTTATAACCACATTTCTTGCCCTAGGATGACTAACTGTGAACTCATTCAACTGCATTGGTTCTGTTGTGGCATTTTCTATCTCACGTAACATAAAGTTCACTGCCAGGAACTTTCCAGAATTATGCCTTTTTTTTTTTTTCTTTTGAAGAAAGCTTTCTTGATGAAAAACAAAATTAAAGAATCATTCCAGCTTCTTTATACATATAAAAAAAGAAGCAGTTAAAGCAGGTAGCAAGAATAAATAACATGTGGTTGAACTTGTGTCTAAGTAGCACCACCGATGTTATCAGTTTTAATACTTTTTTAGATATGTCAGAATCTATTTAAGTTCAGACAGGCACAACTAACTTCCAAGTCAGTTCTGTAGAATGAGAGTGACTACATTTTGGTGATACTTAGTAAATTCATGCTTATATTTTTTTCTAGCTAAATGAACTGAAATAATTATAAAATTGAAACATTTAATAAGGTGACACTGCTGCATTTAATTGTATGAAATTTACGCTGTAGAAAATGTAATCATTTTATCCAGTAGTCCTTGGTGTAATTAAGATTATTCTTGTTAGGTATCTTATGTTTATGACATTTCTTTCCTATACATAGATGCGAGGGATGAAATTCAAAATTATATACCAATTAAGGATCTTTTAATATTTTTCCTCTCTCCAAAGATCTGTTTTCTTATAATGTATTTTTCTCCTGAATGTGTTAACCATAATGGTGCTTATGTAATCTGGAGAGAATAGATCTGAGTCGTAGGGCTTCATCCAGGAAAGAGCACACAAAAAGCACAAGATTTTAATAATAAAGTAATGTTTCAGCACAGAGTCTGTTATGTGCAGTAAAGATGCTTTTAAATTCCCATCAGAGCACACACCATGAACTGTGATAATGGATGTAACACATTTCGAAAAATCTGCATGTGTGAGACTTTTTTGTCCTGTTTTAAGTGGGGTAATGTATATAAATAATAGATATTAGCAATTAAACATCCATTCCTATGCATTCATTTATATATTTGAAAATAAATTAGCCACAAACTGCATAAAAGAAGATGCAATCTCCTGTTTTCTCCTCTGTTTTCCCTGCTGTTTGTGAAGCGGCATTACTGCATTTATCTCGGTGAGAACAATGACCTCAGCTCTCATTCTCTACATTAGTAGAGTAATTAGCACAAAAGAAGAACTTCTAACAATTTTGCTAGTCTGCCTCATCTCTCGGTTTTCCTGCTCTGGTTTGATGCCTGCCAGCTTACCCTCTGCTTGTGTAGAGGATGCCCTGAACAAACCTGGCCCAAAGCTCGCTGAACCCAGGATGATCACTGTTGGTGAGATCTGTGAGCTTTGGATCTGCTCCTTTCTAAGCACAGAGAACAAAATAATTGCTGATTTCCTCAGCTACCTCTCTGCCTTCAGAGGTTCTCCATGCACCAGCAAACAGGATTTGGCCTCATGTATGTGGAACAAGCAGTAACTTGTCAGAGTAGAGTGAGCAGAGCATGCAGTGACAGCCACAAATCTGGCTTCCTTTGGTTTCCTTGGCTTCCTTCCAGCCTTTAACATTATTAATTGAGCACAGATTGTTTGGGGTTTCTTTGTTAATTTCCTTCACTTTTAGCTTTTTTAAGGAGTATGAAATCTGTTATTTGCATCACATGGTACATACCTGTGTGCCAGTAATGGTTGAGGGCCTGATCAGATAGTCAGCAAACTGAGAAAATAGTGAGTGTCTGGACTAGAAAACGAGTCCCCTAATTAAAATAAATATTTCAGACCCTTCATTGAAATTAAATGCATTCTAATAGATGTATCAGAGACATCCCTTTTATTACAGGATCGGTAATATAATAGAGATGATAATGGTTCCTGAAGAGGATGGTGGTTTATTGTGATGATCTGCATTTAGAAATTCTTTATTTAGGAATTGTTAAATGATAGACACGATAGATCCCAGTTCCATTTGGTATAGCACACTAGTCCATTATTGTAAAAGGCACACATAAGAAACTTCAAAAATGCTTCACAGAAGCCCCTTTTATCACATCCAGTGTTACCTAACAAGGAATAGCTGGTTCTCAGCACAATTCCACTAAAATCAGGGGTGTTATATAATTTAGATCAACAGGCGTCACACCCCTTGGTCTGTAATGAGTGTCCACAGCCTGTTCTACTCCTTGGCTCTTGGTTATACTCTTGCCTCTGAAACCCTTTCAAAAAATAGTGCAGGTATCCAGCTCTAACTTGTGCTTTTACATGATAAAAAGGATCAGCTCCTTTACAGAAAAGGTAAGACACTTTGATCATTAGCCCCAGAGCAGGTTATGTTTTAGCAATGTTGATTTGTGAAAATGAACTTGAACTACTGGGCATCTGCTGCAGTCATGGTTTACAATTACCTTTCACAACGCTTTGTTTTCAAATATGCTTCTTCAAAACACAGCGCATACTGAGCTAACTAGAAGTCCTATTCATGTGTATCCACCTGGCCCAGTCATCAGAGTTTTCTGCAGAAGCAGAGCAGAGTATGAAGAGAGTTCCTCACCCTGATCCATGTGAGTTTTGCAGTGTAGTCAGCAGAGGGAGGATTTGGTGATGGGTCAACAGAATGGCAGGGTTCCATGTAAGGGTCCATAAAGGAACTGCACACACAAGTCTGTAGAAGTAATACGTTGACCACCAAACACAGCATCTGTTCAGCAACCACAGTACTACCAACGGCAAAAGCAGGAGCTTCGGCTATTGGGGAGAAATGTGTCCATCTGTTTATCTGATACTGACATTAGTACCTCTGTGCAAACACTCACTATATAAGTACAAATGTACTGTTGTGTCTAAGCTTCTCTTCTACGACTTTAATATTACTGATAATTTAAAGTCATCCTCTGCAGATTCTCATCAATCACAAAAGTGTTGCAGGGCAACTTAATGCTGCTTTTGGCTATGTTCTTGAACCTCCTGTTCAGCACGTAAGCAATTATTTTAAGTTAGATACACATAGTGCTTTTTGCAATGGGCATTATTTAGAAATCAGCTTAAATATGATCTGTTTTATAAAACATACCATCACTGTCTCTCTGATGTACTGATGCGTCATCTTCAATGTAAGTGAATTCTCTGCATTTCTCCAGGGAAGCAATGGATGATGTGCTGGCATCTGAGAATTTCTTCTCATTTTTGGTACCCTTTGATGAGGCACCTGTGATGCTGAATTCTGTGACAGAGCTCATAACCATGTCTTTCATAGGCTTTTCATCTGTATGTTTTTCATTTGTAAAATGGTTATCTGGTGGGATTAAGCAAAAAAAAAAGAAAAGACTTGTTTGTGATACCAAGACAGAGATCTGAAAGAATAACATGCAGAATCTCCAAGCCTACAATTGTTTACTTCCAAGGCCTAACCTTTCTTACCTAATGATTTCAGTCTCTTTGGGCAAGTAAAGTTTATTCATAGCGTAGGTATTTGTGAACTTGCATTCTAAACTTTTCTCTTAATCCCAGTGGATTTAGAGGCTAAGTAATAATTCACTTCCAGTGGGTGGGATCAGGATGGAAAGAGAACAGAACTATTGCCTCAGTTGACATCTCTTTTGAGTGTGATATCCTAACTTCTGTTTGTGATAAGAAAGAAGACAAAACAATTATCTTGTTATTTTTCAACAGCAGCTCTGTTTCCCTGAATTTACAGCCAACAATGTGCGTGTAGGTGGTATCTAGATGCAGATGTGCCAGCTCTCCATGGCTCATAAGCTTGTAGCAAAGAATGCCAGATGGTCTCTTTTTAACATCCAGATTCATTATTTCGTAACTTCATCTGCACTTGTGCCGCTGGCCTGGAAGTCAACTAGAAGATGGGATACTTCACATGCTGTCAGCGTGCCAGAGAGGCAGCTCAGAAACCAGAGGGAGAGCTTAATTTTAAGCCCCAACTAGGGGAAAGGTTAAGAATAGTTCTGAGCTCAATTTATTCTTGAAGAACTTCTCAGGCACAGATAAACACGGACTGATATATAGTTTCACTTACTCTCTGAAGTGATCAAGAGGCCAAGAAATACAGTCATTCTCTCTATGGGTGGGGTGATAAAACCTCATCAATTCTTATCTACAGCTGATTAACTCCTGTACCTCACATCAAGCACAGCCTCACTTTTTATCTTACTTAAATCGTGTGATATGCTTGCTCTTGAGCTATATACAGAAAATCAATCTTTACAAAAACCTCAGTTTTGCAAACACTATTTTCTGAGAGGAATAACGAATGCTCTAAAGTAGTTAGTGTGTGCTCTTCTGCAAGGAGCTGGGAGAGAGGCCTGCATATCTCTTGTTTTTCAGGTACCTTTGACCCCTAACGTATATTAAAGGAAAGCCAAGAAAAGGTTGTTAGAGAGTGAAATCTTGACGAGGCTGCAGTTGTGCCCCCAGTATCCTTGTAGGAAAAAGGAGGAAATGTGGATGAGATGGGTGGATTGCAAGACAGGTGAAAAAACACTGTGACTGTAGGGTTCACAGTGGAGGAAAGCAAGGATTTGAGGTCTAACTGGTGTCCAGTGAAAGCCACCAAGGTGGTGGCGGGTCTTGGGGCATCTGATCTATCAGGAGAGGCTGAAGGAGCTAGGCTTGGTTGGCCTGGAGAAGAGAAGGCAAAGAGTGGGCTGGGTGCTGTCTTCCACTTAATAACCAGGGTAGTGGAGAAGCCAGACCCCAGCTCTTCCCAGCAGTGCACAGAGGTAAAAGGACAAGAGGCCACTGTCACAAGCTGCACCCAGGGCAATTGGGATTGTATACAGGTACAAATTCTTCATCATGGGAGGTGTAAAGCACCTGGGCAGCCCCCAGCAAGGCTGAGGAAGTGTGGAGAGCTCAGCTGGGTATGGATTCCAGTAACTGCTCTTACTGCAGAGTTAGCCATGCTTTGAAAGAAAGGCCACATGAGGCCCCTTCCAAGCTAATTTCTCTATAATTTCTATGATTCTATTTACTTACACAGTGAGTCAGCAATTCATTTAAATTTTTACTCATAGTCAGATTTCATGCCATTTTAGATCATCTTCATGTGGTGAAATATGTAGTAGCAGAAAAGCCGCTTAAAATTTAGCCGAGTAAGATGTTGGGAGAGGATAAGAAGAAATACTAAGCTATCGTATTCATTTTATCTTTAAATCACTGCTTTTAAAATGTGCGTTGGCAGAGGTTTGGGCTTGATTTAGAACTTGCAATATTGACTAAGTCTACTAGGAGGGAAATGTGAATCTTCCCTGTCCTGGAGACTTTACAGGTTGGACATAGGCAGAGAGCGACTGGTGAGATAGAGGGAAGTGGAAAGATGAGAAAAGCAGTGGCACACAGAGGGGTCTCAGAAACCCATACCTGTCAAGTTTTGTGAGCATTACAATGAAAGAAAGCCACAGGCAAGACTTGGAAAAGGCAGGAGAAGTGATGGCTCCTCCGGGTGTGAACCAGCAGTGCAAAGTGCAGTAGTGCTTGCCTGCAGATTATACACTGGGTCGCAGGAAACCAGAGCATCCTTGGCAAGCTAAGTCTGATTTTACCTATCTGCGATAATTTGTTGATGGTTTTCTCTCCAGAGTAAGTAAATGAAGCTTCCCCCACCCCTGCCCATACATCTTGGCTGGCCTTTTGAGACCAAATTGTGGAAAATCATGCATTTTGGATGTACTTACATGCACAGTAACCACTGTTTTCCAGTGTTTCTAAGTCAATGACATACCACATTTTTTCCTGCACTTTCATTCATCAACATAGTGTCTGCAGAAAAAGTTGTAATAAAGATTATGCTAATTGAAGTAGCAGAGCTCTAGAGGAAGCAGTGTCCTGCTTATGCATTGGAATTGTTGGATAATAATCGATTTTTGAGCCCAAAAGACACATGCGCCACCTGTTATTCAGGGGCTAATCTTACAATGGATCTTGTTTGTCCAGGTTGAGAGCTACATACAGGCTGAGCCGTTGAATACAACAGATCAGATTGAAAGACCTAGGCAAGAATGATGGTTTCTATAATTTTCCACTTTCAAAATTGGCCCAAGGGTCTAAACTGGGTACATTTTAAATTGCAATGTATCTGTTGAGTTCCCCATTTCTGCAACAATATAATAGCCCACAGAATGCATTTAAGCATTCAAAAAACGAGACTGAAAAAAATCAGACGGAAGTAATCAGTAAATGCCAGACTAACATTTACTGTATCCACTGACTTCTACTATTCATGCTTCGAGTCAATTTTTATTCTTGAAGTGCTATTGAAGAGAAATCAAAACCAGAAATAGAAAGGCATAGACATAACCTGAATTTTTCAATGCAGCACCATCAAACAAAAAGGTAACAAAAGCTGTCATTCAAGGACTCTTCTGTTTGTTAAAGCATACTACATCTTTGAAAATACAGTACATTTTAGTGTCAGACTCTTAGTTTGAAAAGCTCCCTTTCAGTAATGTTATACTTGTCTTGTACAGCTAGATCAAGTCTTCATGCAATCACCATAACAAGCGACTTGCTATGACAAGCGAGATCCTTGCATCCAGAAAACAGTGCGATAGAGGCTAAAGTATTGTACAATTATAGGTCTCCATTTCATTTTTATACAATTACCTTCAGTTCAGCTGTGGGTCCATCTACATTATGTCTTTTATCAATTTAATGTTTGCACAAAGTGTCTAAAGTAATAAAGATTATGCTAGATGAGCATAAAAAAAAAGTAGTTAGCACTTTTTTCTCTTTTATAGTTTGTTTCTGTATGGAACATATAGGTTGAGAGTTAGAAACGAATAAGTGCAGAAAATAAGCTTTAAGAATATATTATGCACAACTGATATTATTTAAGATTACTGCTAAATGAGAATGTAACAAAACCCCCTAAATTACAATTAGAGATGGGCAGAAGGTCAAACTTTGTTACTGTTTTGTAAGATCCTATGTTCAGCCCCAACTATGCACTAATGTCTGTGTTTTTAATGTGTAGAAATCATCCACTGAAGTGAATTAAAAGGGGAAAATAAGTGTATCATGATGAAGAAAGCTCAGATTATTCAGTGTTAAACTGTTATCAAAGGCAGCTAGAGGTAAGCCCCCACAATGTGCCATTTTTAAAGGGTATCATGAAGTAGCAGCTTTCTCATACAAGAAAGCTGGGCTTGCCTTGGCTGTTGCAGTAGGACTGGAATCGTTCACCCATGGTTGTATTAAAGATAGACATAGTCTCAAGACTCACACAAAATTCTTTTTTTAGTTGGGTGACTCAGGTGGCTGACTATAGTGTCTAAATTCATGAAAGCACAAAGTAAATCACTTACTTTCCACTGATGCCTGCCACAGATCCCTCTGGTTAATAGTGAGGAACAGTGATACCAGGACTGGCATTTTACAGTGGGCCCCCTGACCTCTGGTTCTCTTCATTGATTTAAGCACAACCCAGGGTCTTGCAGCCCTGGAGAATAGATGGCTAGAGTTTCCTAGCAAACTTTAGAAAGCAAATTTATATAGTGGCATATAAACGCTCTAAGTCTGTTTTTGGCAAGGGACTGTTCTGCTCTGTTCTGACTGTTCTGCTTTGTTCTGCTGGACAAAGACTGCAGCAACATGGGTAACACTAAAGATCTATTCAGAGCAAGCGGTTAGGGAGAGCTGCCACTAAAAGAGAAGGAGGAGAACTGATTTATCACCCTATATAGATCTCGTACGCATCTTGCAAGCAAAGAAGAAGGGAGCCTGTGGCTGGTGGCATTTGTTCCCAATCCATCCTGGCAGTGGCCGTTTGCCTCTCATCCCAGTGGCAAGGAGTCCCAAGGGTTAATGGTGAGCTGTGGAAAACTCTATCAGTCTAGAATGTGTAACTTTTTCATTTCACCATGAGACATCTTCACGTATCAGTGCAGTGAAAGAACCAAAGGAACTCCTGGCTGATCTCCCTGCCATTTGTTATCCCTTGCACTGCCGTCGCTACCTGTCTGTTTAATATATTGCATAGTCATCACTGAAAGAGCTGTGTGCCATGTCCATTCAGTCCTAAGATGAAGCAGGCAGAGTTACATCAGACCTGATGGATGATAACTTGTAAGTATAAAGGCTTGAACAGAACTCATTTGGTTTGAAAAGACTCATAGTAAAATGAAACCCAAAACCCAAGTTCCAGTGGCCATGTTTCAAAGAAGAAAAAGTAAAAAGAAAACAAAAAAAAACCTTTTTTTTGCCATTCTAAAGGACATTATTGTCTGCCAACAGCAATGGGAAGGGATGTCAGGGGTATTTCTGCATGGTGTGAAATACGTGTGGGGCCAGAATCTTGCTTACCTGGCTGGTCCTCACTGCTTGGCGTCACCCCAGGGAGCACCGGGAGAGGCAGGGAGCTGGTGCAGCTGTCTTGGTGGAAGAACAAAACAACATTGCAGAAGAACACTGTAAATAAATGTGGTTTGACATGTGTATCACCCCAGACACTTAGTCATTGACTTCAAGAGTTGTTGCTTTGGGTGTAAATAGAAACAAGTGTGATTCCTTGCAGATAGAAATTACATGGGATGGTGCACTGTTTCTGTTACCCTCTGTCTCATTTCTGGAAAGGAAGCCCAAAATAAAACTAATTCCTAAGAAAGTTTCATCTGAGAAGAGGGGAAGAAGATCGCTGGCAAACACAGAATTTCCTCTTTCAGGTAGGTACAGAGAATGTGAGGGCTGGGAGGTCTGTGTTGAAATGTGGGGAATCATCCATACCAAACACCCCAGAAACCTTAAATGAGGTTCCCAAATCATAAGCAAAGGAGGAGAGAGGAAATTGCAGCCCAAGCTAAAATTTCTGTGGTTTAGCCACCTTGACAGACAAGATGTCCAGGGTCCACGTTGTGGCAATCCCAGGTCCCCACATGGGTGCTGAGCTCCTGCACTTCTGCTGTGCTTGCCAGGCAATCCACTCCACATGTAGGGCTTGGAGGCTTAAACCTTCCTCTCTCTCCCAAGGTCAGGGAGGCAAAGTAGGAAGAGGTGTAGGACTATCCCTATGGTGAGTGCAACAGGTGGAGCAAACTCCATGGGATCTGCTGCCATCCACATAGGAGAGGCCAGAGGGAGAGAGGGTGTCACAGCCGACCTGAAGCAAGCTGGCCTAGGCTAATATATCATGGATGCTTTCATAGTTTCATGCCCATTACATTTTGCTGAGCACAGGCATAAGGATACAGGGGATTTAGAGACTTTATTTTTGTTGTAAGGAAACAGGAAATAGTACACAAGACTATAAATATATATTTGGCTTCATATGACATCATGAACTTGTGCAAGTGCTTCTTTTCTGATTTATGATGATGGACTGGCAATTCACAGGAGCTTTGGGTTTATTTTATTTTACTGTTGCAGTAACAAATCTAATGGTGCAATCCCGGGAGGGGGTATTTTATCAATAGTGAATTTTTGACCTCATTGCATGCATTTTAACTTTATGAATTAGTGACCCAGCTGACTGTAAAGCCTTCTATATGCTTATTATAAATCTATCACAGGACTGGCAAAAAATTTTGGCCCAGATCCTAAACTCTGACAGGCATGTGTTGATGGACTGCATAGCAAACACTTCCACTAATATTTCTCGCTAATTATACCATATATTAAGAAAAATGAATGAAGCCAATGTTTATACGCAGCTTTAACTGCTTTTGATGTAAGAAAGCAACAAAATCCCTAATAAATTTTCACCTTCAACATTTCTATTCATTATAATTTTTACCATGATGAATGAAGTTAGAACTGGAGAGGGAGGGGGTTCATCTTGAAATCTGTTCAGTGAATGACTGAATTTACTTCCCTTCCCCGACTTGTGTTGAGGAAGGAGGGAACAGATGGACACAGGAAGAAGAGGGAGGCAAGTGCGGAATGAAGGAGATGGGTGAGGAACAGATGGAATCGGGGGAAAGTGAAGCGGAGAGTCAGCAAGGATGGTAGGAAAGTTTTCCACTTGACCTTGAGTTGAAGATTTGCATACACCATGGGGCAGCAAGATTTTGGGATGCAGGTTTTTTTCTTTCTGTGGCACTTACGCCTCAAAGTCCTGTGGGCCATCCCAGCAGTCCAGACCATCCCAGGGGATGTGCAGAACCAGAATTGGGATTTTCTCAAGGGGATGGCTGCTACAGAAGGGTGCCTGCACTTCGCTTAAGTCCCATAATGGTAATGGTGGGGGATAAATGTGTGCAAATGCAGTACCCAAAATGTGTTGGGATGCGGTAAGTCTCCCTGGCATCCCAGCCAACCCAGAAATTGAAACTTATGATTTTGAAAAAGTATCCTACACCCTGTTTGTTAGGAGCCAATATACTCAAAGTGATTTATGATTTTACCTGCTTAAACTAAGACATTTGAGATGGCTTGATTTTCAGAATATGCTGAGCATCTGTGCTTTGAGATGTATTGAGTTATATAGCCCAAATCACTAGTAAGTCTTGGAAAATCTTGATTATATTCTTAATTCTATTAAATTGCCTGCATATAGTCCATTGATTCTGGCTTTGCTAGCTGAAGAATGGGAGAGGTGAAAGTTAAATATTGGCCATGTGTGTCATTCCCTTTGAAGAAAATGGGAGCCATGTGCACTCACCTAGCAGCAAAGTTTGGCCCCAAGTATGATTTCACAGCTGGGTCCTCACTTCAGGAATGCCAAAGCACTAAATGACTCAATTGGAGTAATCTGATCAATGCTGTATTTTCACCGTGGATTTAAATTGCACACACAGCAAGAGCAGAGTTAGTTTTCTTCTCTCTCAAAATCACTTTACTCTGCAGATTTGATAGCATAAATACGAAGTTTTGCTCTCATCACAGGAATAAGTGAAATGGCAGAAAACTTATGTCAAATAAAATGCACAACATTATGTCCTTTTTACTTTTTGGAGGGTGTTTAAGAAGATGGCTTCATTAATTTTGACTGAATAAACGGTTCCTTTAAGGGATTTCAATAGGTGACATGAAAAATGTTAATACGAACGATCAAGACAATGGAGGTTAAAACTGTTTTGAAAATATGTTTCTTTTATAGATCTCAGCTGTTGGAAGAGTTACAGAATAAATATACGGTAGTGCTGACATTCAGTGCTGTTTCATCTTAGCAAAAGAGTTTTTAATAAAGACAATTCTTTTCAAGGAATGCTTTCTGCAGCCAGTCTTCAAAAAGAGGTTTCCCCCCCTCCTAGTTTAATAAAATCAAAGTAATTTATGTCATATTGATATGTCGATATGTTTTTCAATAAACTTTTTCAGAGAGATTTTTTTCTTAAATTCTCTTCACTTTAAAAATTATAATTATATGTCTTCCTCCCACTTTGAAAATGGCACAAGGTGCTCATTTGCAGAGCTCTACTGTTCAAATCTTCACTGAGAATAGAAATGTCATGACTCAGTTAACAATGCTTTATTATTCACATTGATCTTTTTTTATAGTGTTCTTTATCTCAAAAACATTGTAAATCAGATATCTTCCTCCCACTCTTTTGTTCATTTGCAAATTTTTATTATTCTACTTTAAGAAAGCAATGGAGTGTCAAGAGTCAGTGTATATTGTTTATGTTCTTTTTTGCTTTAAAATTACTTTTAACTATAAAAAGTAAGATGTACAGCAGAAAAAAAAGCTGGATTTAAGGATGCTTAAAAAAGTATTGAAAGGATCGGTGTGAATTTTATGTTGTCACTTACACTTCAGAGTTTCAATGGACTTTGCAAGAAGTGGGACCAAATGCTTAATGAAAGGTTTTTATACGCTAATTCTAACGTCCCTATTGCATCAGACATCATCATCTGCATTTAGACACTGCATGTAATTCATGCTTTCAATGAACACAATAGCAAAATTCACGACTGCTTTTGTAGCATGTTCAGTGGACATTCAGTTTACAGGTGCTTGCCAAGAGACCTGCACTTCCCATTGCTCTGTGTCAGAACTTGGGGCCTGGTCCTCAGGAGCCCTGGGCTGATAAGCACCAAGATAAATCACCAGATTTTCACAGGAACTTCGCAGCTTTGGTATTAAGTGTCAACTGCAGCAGAAACATAACCACAGCTGGTCAACAGGCAGTGCTGTCACTGAAATCCACGGGTCAAGGTGCAGGTTACAGCTGTGCATCCTCCAAGAAAGCCATGCTGGAGCCACCATGGTTTGTTTCTAGATCAGATCTTCCAAATTCTCCTTCACCCACTGTTTTCTTTCCTCAAAGGTTTTCTTCAGGTCTGTATTTCTGTCCTGGCTGTTGTGACTGTATGAAACGGCCTCTGTGAAATAAATTCACTGTAGTAACTGGGGATAGTCCAGAGAGCAGCAGGCTCTCCCAGCATTTCACATATTGCTTGCTGACAGGTAATTTTTTTATCTTTTTCCTGTTTTGAATTAATTTCCTCTGGGGCATCCTGGCACCCTGTTGTTACTCCGGCAGCTCTTGAAAGAGATCGTCTTCTCTGGGGGGAGTGGCTATTTCTGAAGTTGAATTCAAGCCTCAGGTTGGGTTTTTGGATCTTCCAGGTGCTGTGGCAGCTCTATCACATGAACCAACCCTGAAAAGCTTTTGCAAAGAAAAATAAAGCTCCATATTCTTTTGTTTACTTCTTTCTGTTTCAAAGCTGCACTCCTGACATTTTGCTAAGAGATAATTAAACTCAAAGCAAGTCATTTTCAAACTGAACCTGAATCTAAAGCACACAGCCCTGTCCTTCCCCCTCCAAGTGGAAAACTAAACATCTATTTATTTTCATTAATGTCAGTAGGCCACTCCAGCCACCACAGAGCTGTGCCAGTCCCTGGCTGTGCGGATTTGGGATGCACACCGCCACACACATCTGCTGGAGCTGCATGGATGCCCTGCACCATGTGCTGAGGCAGGTCCATCCCAACACTCACAGGCAGCTGCTTGTTGTACTGCAGGGATAACTCAGAGCTCTTAAACTTTCTTTATTCCTGGCTGCAGAGTGTGAAGCTGGAGATTTTGATGCATTAGCTTTTCTGATTTGATTGTGTTGTTTTCAAATTAAAGGAAAAACAAGCTTTAGTATTATTATAGTCCTTTTCTCAACAGCCGTGGTGCATTAATTCAGTCTTCCTTCCTTCCTCTCACAGTTAATTACTCACCCCATCACTGAGGTTAAGATTGTCTGCCAATATGATCAAGTTTCAGAAATAAAATCCTAATCAGAACAGAGTAGCCAGAAGTGGACAGGGCTTTATTTAAGATGCTGACACGGTAACTGATGGTAGGGCTCACCCGTGGACATGCTTGTGTGTGTAATTGCTCACTGCTCAGTTTGTGAATTTTATAGGTAATGTAAAACAGAAAATACTGAGTTTATTACAAAAGATTTTTTTTTTTTTCTCCACATAAAACTCTCTCATTTAATCTGGAAAGCACTTAAAATTCTGTTTTATTTTTGGTAAGCACTATCTATTGAAAAGTGAAAATATCAGAGGGATCACTAGGCAGAATTTGTGAACATTCCAATGAAAAGACAGCACAGTGTCTTCCTTTCATGTTCCAAGGTCTTTGGCAATTGTGCTGCTTTCTGACTGACACTGAAGTTATGTAGAGAGCTTATTCCCAAAGCAGGTATTACACATGGTTATGGTCACAAATACATCCTTGCACAACATTAATGCTAGAGGAGCTCTGAGGCTGTCAGAATTCTGATTTGGTGGGGGGAAACACCACCAAAACCACCTATTTCCTTAAAATATGTCCAAACATTTTAAACGCTGTCAAATAGAGCTGCAAATCACAGAAGATGCAGCATTTCTCATAGATGGTCCTTAAAGATCTGCTTGTGGTAAATTGGCAAGTGATAATGTATGACTACAAAACCCCATGTCTTCTAGTAAATTATAAAAGCTTTTCTTTGATTCAAATCCAATGATAAGTGGCAATCTGTGAGTCTTACTTCTTCTAAAGACCTTCCAAGCAAACACTTAGATTTTTCAATCTCTCCTCTCAATGCCATACTGGAACACAACTGGGAGCCGGGCTTCTCCTCTATAGCAAACATTAGGAATCTTATTGCTATGTGCGTACCTCCCGAGGTGCTGTGGAGAAGCCTTTGCTGGACTGTGATGGGAAACCATTTATTTAGCTCTGCAAGGGCCTGATCCAGTATCACCAGGTGTCTATGGAAAGACTTCCAGGGAGCTCAGCAGATCAGGCTCCAAAACAACCTGCAATAACCTCCGATAGCCTTCTCTGGGTTTCTTTGCTCTTTTTCTCAGAAAGTCATAGCCAAAGCAATCAGCAATATCTGAAGCAGAGGATGTATCATGCTATACATCTTCACAAAACATCTGTATTCTCAGGGGACACCAAAGATTCAGAACACCTATTCTGGGGGCACACAGATGACATCCACTGTTTCTTAATTATGTAACAAGTACTTTTAGGACAGTGTATTCTTGCCAGCTCTGGCAAAGGCAAGCATGGTAACTGTTCTGCTCACAGTATTAAATACACTTTTCTTGCTGTGCAGTGGAAGGATGTGTTTAAACTCACAGTCTATCACTATTCCTGGATAGTGTAGGAGAGTCCAGGAACACTCAAGATGTCTTTTCCTGTGTATATTAACTTGTTCAGAACAAAATAGTGTTCTTAGAAAACAAGAATCTTATGGCAGAAGAAAGTTTCTTTCATGGGTGTGCTACAAGGGTTTCCAAGCAGCTGCTTGTTCATTTGGGTACATGAAATATTAGGTTCAGCCTGCTCACAAGCACAAACACTTAATTTCTTCTCACCGTGGCACCTTCTCTGTGGTCATTTCCACCTGGTTTTGTGATGCTGGCAAGTGCCATACTAGCACAATGTCTTCATTGTACAGATTTTCAGAGGAGAGCTGCAGAGCTCCTGCAACCTCAGTGAAACACCATCTTCTCCCCAGCGCCTGCTGTTGGTCCTGCTTTAGAAGGAACTGCAATGCTAAGGAGTTGTGCTAGTGCCTGATGTGAACACCAGAAGTTTCAGGTGTTGCTCGATGGTTGGTCAACACATTCCTGCCTGTCTGTGGACCATGCACAAGGATCAAAGGGTTGGCTGGGCAACCTTCAGCACACTGAGCTCACCAAAGCCCCAGAAGAGGTATGCTGGGCATTAAGGGTAGGAGGGCTCACCAGTTCCTCACATCAAAACTTCCACTGAAGCCTTTGCTCAAGGCTCAGGTATATAAACCCTTCCAAGCAAGGAGGTCACAGTCCAGGCTCTGAGAGGAAAAAGTGCGAGTGAGAGAAATGGAAGAGGTGTCACTGTTTCAACAGAGATTAGGCAAAATCTAACCCCCATTAATCCTTTAGAGCAGGGCCTCTGGTTTGCTCTTTTTGCAATCTGTTCTGTATTCAAAGCAAGTACATTTTTTTCTGTCACTATACCACTATTGTTAACAACTATAAATGTATTAAAAACACAGGGGCATTTTAGTATGTGTATTGTGCATAAGAAATATTGTTACATGACAAGCTCCAATTGGCAAGTGAAAAGAGGTTTTATTGAAGGAAATAGCAGTAGCAAACAGTGAACTATGCAGAATAATGGTAATTGTTCCTTTAACATTGGCAGCGCACGTTCACTTAATATGACTGCTCCTCTGTCTCTGCCTCATCCAGACCCAGAGGACCTGTTAGACAAGCAGGCAGCCACCTCTCTCTGGGATCAAGCTGTCAATGCAAACTTGCTTTCTTTCTATTTCTTGAAGCTAAGCTATACCCCCAGAGCTCCCAAAGCTTTTCCTGAGTGAAAGCTTTAAAAAAGCTCCATTCTAAATTACATCACACGAGCTGTTCTCTTCAGACTGACAGAACAAAAGCAAGGAGGGGGGGAGGAAATGCCAAAAGTACCATCTGAATGACTTCTGAGTTGCATAGAATAATTTACCTCCTCATGCTTTATCAGAGCAGACTAATGTTGTCTACCTTGCCTACCAAAGCCCCAGCACTGTCCCCTAACTAGCAGAGAAAGTTTGCATCATGTGTGTTTACAGTACAAAAGCAGAGCTGTTGGGTGCAGGCATTTTGCTTGCAACAACAGGGTCATGGGTGCCCCATGAAGAAAGATCATAATGGAGGGCATGGTGCTTTCTAAACTTCATCTTGGGAGATGTGGTCTCTGACACAGCCAGTTCATGGTTATTGGAAGCCTGTGCATGCCTATTGGAAGCCTGTGGATGCCGCACATCCAGGTGGGTGCGCTCATCTGCTGATCAATGACACCCCAATTAATGGTCATGGTGAGGACTGCTGAGGGCCACTGCCAAGATCTGAGAGGTTTCTCAGACTGGCTCCAGCAGGCTCCAATTAAGGATCATCATCAGAAGTCAAGGGAGCAGATAAGCATCACCCACTTCTGCTGTGGCAGAGTGGGAAGCAGATAAATTGGCATCTCTCCCTGTTCTAGAGGTTTCTAGGTAGCACAGATTGATTTGGGAGCCCCTACTCAGGGAAAGCAGCCTCAGCTGCAAAGGGAGGGCCCTATGGACCATCCACCTTCTTTGGCAGACAAATACAAGTAAGAGGAAGAGAGGAAAGTTGCAGACGTTCTCTAGGTAAGGTGCAGAATTAGCAGCCCTTGTAAGGTGTCAGTTTGGGGGTTGCTTGGTCCCAAAGTAATCTACTTAGTGAGACAAGCAGACTTTGTGTGGCTCATAGGCTGACCCTTTTGGGGTTCTTTCTTAATTTTGAGAAGACAGTGGTTATGGGGCTAAGAGCTTTTTATTCTCCTACTCAAAAGCTTGCAGGTTTAGCTTACAGAACTTCTAGGCTTGCTCTCCTGTTTTGAGTAAGCCTTAAAATGTTTCAGCTATTAATACAAATAATAGTCCCATTTTAAAGATGGGCTCAAACAGATGATGAGTCAATACTAAGGCAAAAAATGTTGCTCACATCCCCCATGGAGTTAGAATAATTGTGTTTGCTTTCTTCCATGAAATGTGCTATTTCAGTAGCTGCACAAATGCAGTGCCATGCCTTAGGTGGACACTGTGGGGAGAAGGTAGGGGACTTACCTGAGTCTCCAAGGGGCTGTAGAATGGGGTTGTTCAGCTCTGGAAAACAAGAGTGGGAAAGGAAGACTTCACTAAGCAGAAAAATCTCCTCAGCTGGTGAAGTGGTTTTGTTATCCCCCATAAGATCTAGTGTTTCATAAATGCCTCAAAATTATTGTTATGAGAGCAAAGAGAAAAGTGACTGGAACTGAAGACTTAATCCCCTGATTGACTTCACAAGTATGGAAAAAACTACTCTTAGTAGAAGTTGAGAGATGCCTCTTCCCTTTAAGGATCCAGTGTCCTCTGGCCTCTCACTGAGATGACTTTTTTTCCCTAGGGGACACAATTTTCATATGATCAACACAACGCGTCTTACCCACAGGAGCAGAGGCTGCCTGAGGACCCTGACTCACTAATGCAGTGTTCATCCCTGAACTTCTGAGTGAGTAAACTTTGGCGTTTGCTATTTCTTTTTGGTGGCTCCTGTCTGATGCATCGTGTCAGATGCATGAGGACATCTGGCTAGTGAAATCGCTCTGTCTTGATCCATAAGGCACCATCCTAATGCCCATTAAAGCTGATGGAAATATCTGGCTTCACAGCATACTATATTATCAGGTGTTGTATCTGTTTCCTATGAAAGTCTAAATTAGTCAAAATATTCATTAAAGCGATTATAACTGAGGAAAACAATGGTAATGAACCTGAATACAGACCTCATCACTGTGTGCTTCATTGCATCCCTGTTCCTATCCTACATATGAAGATGCTGGACTTCAAGTTTTTGAAGCTAGCAATGTAAATTATTAAACATAACCACTGTAATACTTTCAGGCTAGTTTTCTGAACCATGGTTTTAGGATATGGTGCGGGTTCAGCTGTCTTTATTTTTCTGTTTCAGCATGGCAATGTTTCCTATGCTTTTACATATATTAAGGTTTTGCACTGCCTTTCACCACCATAGTATCTGAGTGTCTCAAAATCAGTGGAAAAAACAACTTCATGGTATTTGCAGCATGTGCATTTCTCCTCTCCTGGGAGGGGAAGATAGAGGTCTCATCTAAATGACTGAGTACTTGGGTGGTATTGTGATCCCAGTGGATGTGGGATTTTGTGCCACACAGGGATCACTCAAAGAAATAATGTTCTGCATGTTTTCTTCTGTGCATCCGGATCTGAATGCAAGTTGAGGTTTATATGGCAGGCTAGTATTTTAGCACAAGTTGTGTTTGTAATAGTGGCAACTAGAAGCTTGTTTGTTTATAAAATGAGGAAATTATCATCTGGAAATAATTTTCAGACAACAGACAGGGTGCATGGACTTGTTTCAATGCTCCTGATTCAAGCATAGCTGCCCTTCAGCAGTAGATCAATGATCTCCTCATGGCATGGGAACAAGTGTGCCCGTAGGAGAAGGCTTTTGTCTTTTGATGCTATACCACAAGCAAGGTCTGGAGTCCCTGGAGCACTGTCTGAGAAGGGATTAATGTGCTTATGCCACCATGCAGACTGCCTCTAACCTGCAGTGATTCACGCCCTGTAGTGCTCTGGTATGCTGCTAGCTGTATGCTTTGGGGTCATACTTTGTGAATCACTAGTTCTCATCTGGACCAAGGTCCAGAAAGTTTACTTAGCTGTTTATAGCTAACTTTTCTCCTTTATCTCGTATGAGTAAGTGAAGCTTTCTGCTTCCTTTGAGCTTTACCAGAAAGAGAACAGAAATATATGCCTTTTTCTATGTGTTTATTTCAAGCCATGATTCTTCTGGGAAGTGTGATTTGTTTATGTGTTTCCAAAACAAATTAAAATGGTTAAGGCTGCATCTCTGCCAACCTCTTTCTAAGTAGTTTCAAATAGTTTACTTAAAGAGGGATTATTTAGGCTGTCACAGAATATGACGCAGCTCAGAAGTAGCGTCTAGCTTGCACACTTAAGTCCACTGAACATTAGCTTAAGGTGGAAAAATTAAGGTCCACTAGACAGTAGAATCACAAGAGCATGGAGTAATAGTTTTGAGTGTGCTGCATCTGAAGAGAAAAAGAAATTGTTTGACTTTCCCTTTTCTGATGGTACCAGTAAGACTGGAAAAGGCTAGCAACACCAACTGCCTATTGGAGGTAGTGGCTGCTTAAATCCTGCTTGTCCCTCAATCAGTTCTTGCTCTAAGCATTTAATTCTTGTGTGCCTCAATCTCCTGTAAAGTGGGAGCATGTATAGTTCCTAACCATATGATTGTTTCTGTGCTGAATTCAGGTCTATAAGTTAATATGTGCTCTGTAAATGGAGTTTGCAATGTCTTAGGGTCACCTTCTTCAGCTTCAGGAAAAGTCTTAAATGTTTATGCAAACATCTACAGTTATTACAGCTGATGTCTCTAGTTAGCTACAGTAGGAAGGTCAAACTTTGGAGGCTGTAGTTTCTTTACAGCCTATAGGTTTCCCCCTCCCATGTCCGTTTTCTACTCTTGCCAGTGCCTTGCCTTCTGTTCAAAGGCATTAATGATAGCAAATAAAGCTAAAGATCCTTGTTATAACAAGGTAGTTGTTTATTTTTTAATCAGAGCATATGCTTATGCCAGAGTTGGCATGAGGAATCCGTGTATGTGTGTCTGATTGGGGCATGCTAAGCTGATCATTTGTTAGTGCATTACATATAAATTTGCCTTTAGTTATACAATTTACTGGGAGGTTCATATGAACATTGGTAATCTAATTTTTGTTTGGAGGTGATGGAAATAACAACAATGGGGAAATAAGGCTATTGCCATGTGTGCTGAATTGTGGTTTGGTAGCAGCCGTTGTCTTGTAGTTAAGTGGCCATCAAAACCTTTCTGGGGGTGGCAGTAAATTAAAACAAATCTTCAGAAAATATCAGTTTTCAAAGAGTAAAGAAAGATGCAGCAATTATTGTGACACAGGTTTGCAGTCTGTTTCTGATTATCCTTTTGGCTGGAGAGTTAGGATTTCTAATTGTAAGGTGAAGGAATCCTTTTTATCTATCTCTTGCCTCCTAATCCTATGCTAGACAGTATTGTTTTCTGCGCCTTTTGTGTTCTGGGGAAGGAGACAATCTCTGGCTCATGCGAACATCTTGTTAAAGTCTGCTGAGGATTAGGGGGTGTGACAGTTTTCTTGCTGAGCCTTTTTATTGGGGATTTTTATGCCTGCTTTTCTGGGAGGTCTTTGAAATGTCTTTTATGTAGCAATCATTTCACTCTTTCTTTGTTGCCTCAAATGTTGAGGCTGTATTCTTCTCATCTGTTTCTGTTTATATTCCATACTAGCTGGTCATAACAGTTTAGCTTGAAACTATCATCATGCCGTGTGCTTCTGAACCGCAGGAGTGTTGCAAACTGCTCTAGGACAATTGCAAATTTGAGCTTTATTTTAGGGTATCTGAAGCTTTAGCATGGTTGCTTAGTATGAAATACAGTTAAAGAGGTTCCAGATGAAAAACAGCAATCTAGGAGTTGGACATTTCAAGTGTCCACAGCTAGATATAAGCATTTAAAGATGCTCCGGTTATAATAAGTCTCCCTTAGGGTGGTCATCATATCAGCCATAGCTGGTATGATAGGTGTTCAGCCTGGCCTGAACAATGACAATAATCAATGGCAGAGATAAACCTGCCCTGCTGGCAAGTCAACCCATCTTGACAGAAGAGTTTAAGCCCAAAAAATAGAAAGAAATTCGCTTTCCCCTAAAAATCTGAAAAAAAAAAAAAGGCAAGCTGGCGATTTCACATTTCAGTCCCAGAAGGCGCTGGGGTTCGTCAGTGTATTTTGTTTCATAAAATTTTCGTTAAACCAGTGCTTCTGTCTTGAGTGCCTATCTTAGGACACATGGACTTCTCATATCTTTGAGATGGTAAGCACATGATTGCTGATTTCCCACAGATCTTATTTCTGATGCTAAGTAAGCTCAAGAACTCACTGGGGAGATCCCAGATTCAGTGTTAAGCAAGGAGCCAGGGCTATGTAGTCTTGCTGATAATGAAGATATCAGCCAGGTATGGAAAAACGGGTTGCACCATCTTCTCTTTTGAGAAGGTAGAGGTAGAAAATGTGTTTTCATGAAATAATTATAAAAACAAATGTGCGCAGGATGCTGTTTCAATTTTTAAATCTAGCTAAACTCTTATTTATTTCACTAAATGGTGTATCATAGCTTTACAGAGGAAGAAGCTGGCTGCTTAGATGTGTATCTTTTGCTCCAATAAATACTTTTGTAAAAGCTGGGGTTTGTCCCTATCAGAAATTTGCCCATGTAACAGCATTTCCATCAACCTCTGCTTGCTGCCTCTCTAGCAGAATTTTTAGTGTCTAAAGCCATATATAATATGGTTCCATTTCACACTTAACCACAAACCTCATTCTTCCAGATATGACCTCAGTTTATTTTATATTGCATGTCTTTTCCTTAAAGTATTTTATACATAGCATAATATGCAATGATACGGCACTGATGTTTATCAAAATTGTTTCACACTGTACTTATTTCTATTCCTGTCTTTTGGATCAAGTACAATACAGCTGCAGACTAGTATCACCTTTTAAAATATGTTTAATGTGTTTATTTTCTTACCACATTTACTCCATCCACTGACTTGTTATATGGATTATATTTAATGGGAATCTTGTGGGACTATCAAAGGGCATTTATTTTCTATTGAAATAACAATTAAGATAACACACAAACTAATATAGTAATCAAATAAACCTGACAAATAACAAAAAACTTTTTTAAAGCTGCAGAGGCATGCTAACAAATCTATTTGATCAATATATGGGATGTGAAAAAAGAGGAGACAAGATTGACTGATGAATAAAATGGAACTGACACAAATAGGCTGACAGCCAGTCGCAAGTCTCTTTAGGGCAAATGCAATTAACTTAGAATAATAGACTCAAATTTGATGGTTAGAAATGCATTTTTATTAACAATCACAGCCTGAATCATTATGCACTCTTATGAATAAAATTGTAGTTATACTGAAAGTCTGTGTATACATGTATGCATGTACCTACAAAAAAGCCTTGTTGGAGAGCTTTATTTTTGTGACAGAATAGCTGCATGAGACTTCTACTTGTGCATGCTTCATATTTTAAATCTAAATACTCAAACCAGTGATATAAAAATCACATATATGGTATGCTAGTATCAGTGGTAAGGGCAATAAGCATCGGTCCCAGGACTGCTTGTTCTTTTGGGATGTGAAATTGCAATCAGGGATTTACAGATTTCATTCCGAGGCAAAGAAGTCATTACTAGAAACATAAGCTCATTCTCTTTACTTTAATAGCTATTTTTAATCATTCATTTAGAAAATACATGATCTATTTATTGTATAGATAGTGCATTTCTATTGGCATTCCATTTTCATGCTTTTTTTATAATCCTTTTTAACAAATTATTTTATTAAAAGAAGATTAGAATTAGCTAA